AAAAAAAAAAAAGAAAATCTTTTGACCCCAACTTGTCTATGTTGCCCCTCCACTTTGCTGAATTTGTGTCACCCCCTGCACTGCATAATCATCCCAGGAAAACTTCCAGAAGGTCTGCTGTACAAAATAACTCAGTAACCTTCCCAAGTAATAGTCTTTGTCTAACCACGTAGTCCTTCAGGAACAAATATCCACAGGGCAATTTTGTTCATTTGGGTCCCCCTTACTAGTGTTCTTATTTGCCTTTAACATTCAAGCATCACGTATTTACTGATACCCACTCTGCCAGCTGGGCCTTGGCACTCAAAAGGCCTTCCTTAGTCATTGCCCACACCTTAAAGGCTTCACAAGCTCCTGACAGAACCAATAGAACTTTCAATCATGCAAGGTGGTTGGGTTACACAAGCTCCCACTGAGTCAGAAAGGCTTTCTAAAGGTGACATTTGAATGCCCGGCATTGTGGCTCATGCCTGTATTCCCAGCACTGTGGGAGGCCAAGGCAGGTGGATTGCCCTGAGCTCACAGGTTCCAGACCAGCCTGAGCAAGAGCAAGACCACGTCTCTAAAAATAGCCAGGAATCGTGGAGGGCGCCTGTAATCCCAGCTACTCGAGAGCCTGAGGCAAGAGAATCACTTGAGCCCAAGAGTTTGAGGTTGCTGTGAGCTATGAGGTCACGGCACTCTACCAAGGATGACAAAGTGAGACTGTCTCAAAAAATAAATAAAGGTGACATTTGAGCTGGGCCTTATACAATGAGTAAGGATTATGACAGATTGAGAAGATGGAGATTAATGTACACAGCTATGATTTAATAATTAAAAAAAGGAGAAGATGGAGAACTTTTTAAGGAGTAAAGTTGCATAAAATGCATCTCTTAACCTCCCGTCCCTTGTGTGCCAGAGATCTACCCTGTGCTCATTATTTCTGAAGAGTGGTTCCTCACTGTTCCCCAATTCCTCCCACACACACTTACCCTAAAACTGTCCAAAGTCTTTTGGATCATGCACATTCTAGTGTAGGTAACCACAGGTTTGAAATCAGTTAAAACCTAATGCCCCACAGCCAGGTAATAATCTTTCACGTCAAGAAATCTTTTTGACTTCTACATCAGTATTTGTAATGGCTGCCCAGACTATTTCTTCATTAGCAATAATGTTATTTCCATTTTTTTGTTATTAGAAATATGCTAATAGGCTTCAGTGAGCTTCCTTTTCCTAAGCACTACATTCTGGCCCATGTATGACATCTGGCACTCAAGGGACATTTCTCTGTAGCAGGCTTTGCTGCTAGAGGGTACCCCTCCCCCAATCACTAGGGATCAGAGGAACCCCAGCGGAACCCAGTTTGGACGTACTCTGTCTTGACTCTCGGCTTATTTAGGACATTACAAGAATCACCATAAAAAGGAAGAGAGCTAAGCTAAATTCTAACTTTTCCAAAAATCTACTTTTCATAAAGTTGAAAAATAAACATTTTCCATTATTTACTAACATTACATTTGTGGAACCATTTGCCTTCAGGCTTCCTGTCTGGCAGAATCTAGGTTTGTTGTGGGAAGGATGAAGCAGAATCTTAGAAAAGAAGGAAGATCTTTTAACTGAAATGAAACCTACAGTCAGGCAAGTCAGACCCAGAACATGGTTAATAACCATTGTTTATTTCTACTGTATGGTTATTTTACACTCTCCCAGACTTTTTTTTTTTTTTAACCTTCTTAAAATATAGATTTGTAAGACAATCCATTTAAATCATTTTATTAAAGAAGTTATTGTCAATGCCCCACTATGTCTAGAATTTAAAAATATATATCCTGAATATTTGGGAATGAGATTTGTTTTTGTTTTAATCCCACTAAAGAACAAAGTGATTACAACATGTAATTAGGCATTTCCAGACTTCTTAGAGTGTTAAAAAGAATCAAGTCTTTTCTCCAGATAGTCGGAGGAGAGATCAAGTAGAGTCCTAACAGGCTGAACTCCCATTCTGAAATCCTGCCAAGACTCTCGGGTTGGATGCTGAAAGAGATACATCATTCAACTGGAGTGGCTCCCACAGGATCCAGAACACCCCTGTTAGCCAGCAGATCCTCATTCTAGGATTATTCCGTAACTCGTAAGAGACACTCTAAAAGCACCACGTTCTACCATATCACAATTGTTAGAGGATCCAGACAGCAATCACTTCAAACAAGATCAGTTCTGTGAAAGACACCTTTTGGAGACCTAAGATTTAAATTTATACTCAACTGATACTTAGTTCTCTAGGTAAACTGAAATCAATGGAAACGTTCATTAAGTTGTGTTCAGATTTGGACTGACTCAGTCTGACAAAAGTTTGTGGGGAGATGAGTTTTAATGCAGTTTAAAAAGCACTATGAAGTTGACTACAAACTGCCAGGATGAAGTAAGACCTTGTTGGTGGGTGCGGAGACAAACATTAAAACAATGGCATCATGATTAAATGAGTTTTTATTGTCACATGTAACTGCTTTGTCAGATATACATTGTAGATTCCAGTATGGCATAAAAAAAATATTTTCCTGAATGTCAAAATCTGAACAGAAGAGATGGCAATGGCACTTAAAAAAATTAAATTCACACTGTTGCTGAAGCTGCTTAGTAGGAAGCTGATAAAAATTGGAACACATTTGCAGAAAAAGTGGTCTGCAACATTTTAAACGAAATGGCAGTGGGGTAACGCCAACAAAACCAGGACAGTAAAATATAGACCCCCTCAGAGTGAATGGCAGTTTTAGCATTTCATCTTTCAGTCCATATCTTATCACCTAATTTAGCATTAGAACTGGAGCTCATGAATACATGTCTACCCTATAAATTGAAACTACTTTTTCAGAACCTGGGTTTTAAGCCACTCTAACAACATCTTTATTCTTACAGGCTTTAACTAGTCCAAAGGAAAGGCAGTTAAACAACAAGCATTAACTTCGTGGGCTGACCTTGTCATAAAATGGTGGGTCTTGCCATTTCCAAACCAGGAGCCCAATATACTCATGAATGTCTTAAGTGGTTTCACACGTTCTGGGCAAAACTAGAAAATAAGCAGTAATTAAATAAAAACATAAATGCATCCCCAGAGAGCCTCCACACATTCCATAATTATTCCCCAAATGGCAACTTAAAAAAAAATAAGTATAGTTATTCAGATTTAAAATGAATCTTTATTCATCAAGATTCCCAAATACTTTATTAAATGTCTTTCCTCCACAAATAAAACTAACACTAGGATTTGTCAGGAGATCTAAATGAGTTATATCCCTTACATATGAACTCAGCTAAGTCCACCATGTCTGGAATATGTTCATTATAAAACTCAGGTCTGGTACATAACTCCTTTCTGTTATCCACTGCTTCTATGTCCTGCAGGACTCCAGAACAGAGACCAGAAACGTGCTAGTGCAACACAGTCGTCACTGTAATCCACTAAGAGAAAAATAATTAATTTATTTTATGACATACTTATTTGATGATTACTTACTGGTAATTAGTATTTCTACGTTTTTTTTAAAGGCAACCATTTTAAGTGACAATACATATCAGGCTAGTAGAAAAAAGTTGAAACAAAGCCCTCTCTTTAGATCTCACAAAGTCATGCAGAGAAGAGAAGGGATATCCAATTTGTTCCAATCAGGCTTCTTGGAATTATCAAAATTTCTTTTCTGGCAAAGATGAATTTGGCTCATCATAGAAAGAAGTTCTTTGAAGGCTGCTGCTAAACTCATTTCCCTTTGAAAAAGTAAATTTCAAGGCATGATAGTGCAAGAGGTAAGTTTTTGATTTATAGAACATTTATAGACTAATTGTGCTTAGTCTCTAAATTTCAATTTATTTAAAGAACAGAAACTATGCTGATAAGTTTCACTTTGCCTAAATTTACTAGTACATCCATGAATCGCACCAGAATTAGGACAATTTGATTATCTTAATGATTCTGTCATGAAATCTGGACGCTGCGTCCGAAGGTAAGGACCCTAGATGGAGGCCTCACGAGCTCTGTGCACAAGGACTCTCTTCGTGGGAGTCAGGATATCTGAGAAAACAGTTCTCCCACAAGATTAAGTCCTCAAATCACTTTCTCGTAAGCAATTAAACAGTGCTAAGTGGAGAGTTTCTTTTGTTTAGTTAAATCTGGGAGGTCTGAGTGTTCCTGGGGTCCTCCTCGGGATGTGTCACAGGTTGAGAATCCTTTGAGTGTGAGTACTCGCTATTAGAGGGCTCTGTGGGGTCAATCAAATTTTCATAATCACTGTCATCTGATTCCTCACCACTGTCTCCAGCTGCTCTTTGGGAAGGAGGAAGGTCTGCTCCACTTCCAGGGAGCTTCAGTCCGGCACTGGTAGACGCATAGTTGGAGGAGCCCACAGCTTGGGGTCGAGGCAGAAAGACACTCCTTTCCATGCGAGAATGGCTCAAAGTACTTTCTTGATTGTTTGGATGAAAATCAGAATAAGGGGGAGGAGGATCAGAGGCCTCTGTATCTCCAAGTGGACTTCTCCCTTCGGCTGTAAACCCAGAATAGGGCATCCGAGGACTGAACACTGGTTCCAAACTTTCAGATGACATCTGTCTGCTCAACATTGCCTGCTGCAATCCTGGGTGAATGCAGGAAGAATATTTTATATATATCCTTTTTTAATTCTTAAATACATATATATATATTTTCTATATTTTCACAACTTTTCATTTTAATGCATTACATAATCAACCTGAATGTTCTGGAAAATAGCAAGGCAGTGAAACTGATCATTATTATTTTATGAGTGCACAGTACTTTGTTATAATTTACAAAGTACTTCCCTAAACATTAATCCACTAAAGCCCTATGACAATTTTCTGAATGTCATTATCACCCTTATTAATAATACTGTCTGCATTATATAGGCCAGGTGTCCTCAAACTACGGCCCGTGGGCCACATGCAGCCCGCCTAGGACATTTATCCGGCCCACCAGGTGTTTTTGCCACTGTTGCCTGTCCTGCTTAGCAGCCGACTCGCCCCGGGGCCTGTAGTCGGGCCCTCCAGTGGTCTGAGGGACACTGAACTGACCCCCAAGTTTAAAAAGTTTGAGGACCCTTGATTATAGGCAAATAACTAAAGATCAGAAAGGTGGAGGGATCAGACAAAGAGAAGAGCTGGAAGGGGCCCTGATAATCAGAATGTAGGTCTCACCTCTCTAAGTCCTGTGCTATTTCCTCCACCTGGGCTTGCTGAACTCATGGGGCCCAAAGGATGAAACTAAAATAATCCTTACCATGTCCTTCTTTATAGGTCATGGGAATGTGAGATTTTCCTTGAAAGCCTTGCTATCAAAAATATATTTCTCTTTGGGAAGCTGAGGTGGGAGGATCGCTTGAGCCCAGGAATTTGAGACCAGCCTGAGCAAGAGAGAGACCCTGTCTCTACAAAAAAATTAGCTGGGTATAGTGGCACATGCCTATAGTCCCAGCTGCTTGGGGGGCTGAGACAGGATTGTTTGAGCCCAGAAGTTTGAGATTTCAATGAGTTATAATGCCAGTGTACTCTACCCAGGGTTACAGAGTGAGACTCTGTTTCTCTGTTTTAAAAAAAAGAAAAAAGAAAAAAAAAGTACTCATACAAATTTAGAAAATTTGGAAAGGAACAAAGAAAATAGTAGTTGCCCACAGTTCTATCATCCAGATAACACTGTTAGGATTTTGGTGAAAAGAGCATAGGATTTTGAGTTAAAAGACCTTAATTTTAACTTTTAGGCCCCTACTTCCTCACTGTGTTACTTAGTCAAGTCACTAATCTTTGCTGAACTGCAGTTTAATTATTCAGCTTTGTGTGCGTACACGTATTTTAAGCAAAGCTGACATTATTGTGCTTATACTGTTTTATATCCTTATTTTTTTCACTCAAGATTATATACCAGCTGGGGCAATGCCTGTGGCTCAAAGGAGTAGGGCGCTGGCCCCATATCCAGGAGGTGGCGGGTTCAAACCTAGCCCCGGCCAAAAACTGCAAAAAAAAAAAAAAAGATTATAGATTATATACTGGGCATTAACTTGCTACCATAGATATATGTACCATAATTCATAATTCTTTTTTGTTTTTTTCGGGAGAGTCTCACTTTGTCACCCAGGCTGGAGTGCAGTGGTATGATCACAGCTCACTGCAACCTCCAACTCCTAGGCTCAAGTCATTCTCCTAGCTGAGCCTCTTAAGTAGCTTGGACTACAGGTGCATGCCACAATACCCAGCTAATTAAAAAAAAAATTTGGCTCAGTGCCTGTGGCTCAAGCGGCTAAGGCACCAGCCACATACACTTGAGCTGGCAGGTTCGAATCCAGCCCGGGCCCACCAAACAACAATGATGACTGCAACCAAAAAATAGCCAGGCGTTGTGGCGGGCACCTGTGGTCCCAGCTACTTGGGAGGCGGAGGCAGGAGACTCGCTTGAGCCCAGGAGTTGGAGGTTGCTGTGAGCTGTGATGCCACAGCACTCTACCCAGGGTGACAGCTTGAGGCTCTGTCCCAAAAAAAAAAAAAAAAAAAAAAAATTTTTTTTTTGGAGGTTGGGTGCAGTGGCTCATGCATGTAATACCTCTCAGCACTCTGAGAGGCCAGGCAGGTGGATTGCCTGAACTCAGGAGTTCAAGACCAGCCTGAGGCAGAAAGAGAACTCATCTCTAAAAAAATTAGCTGTTGTGGTGGGCACCTGTATTCCCAGCTACTTGGGAGGCTGAGGCAAGAGGATCACTTAAGCCCAAGAGTTTGAGATTGCTATGAGATATGACGCCATGGCACTCTCCCAAGGGGGACAAAGTGAGACTCTGTCTCAAAATAAATAAATAAAATATAATAAAATAAAATTTTTTTTTGTAGAGATGGATTCTTACTATGTTGGTAAGACCAGCCAGGCTGGTCCTGAACTCCTGGCTCAAGCTATCTTCCCACTTTGGCTTCCCAAAGTGCTGTGATTACAGGTGTGAGCCTCCATGCCAGCCTATACTGTAATTTTTAAATTTTTATTTTGTAACTGTAAGTTGACAAATATAGTTATATATATTTATAATGAACTGTAATTCACTCAACTATTCTACTATTGCTGATATGACTTCTCTAAATCTCTGTCTGCATTTCTGCTAATTTCAAGGAAAATATAACAGTAAAAACAAATTGGGTATTGTTTGCCCAGAAATTTAAATTACGTCTTAATTGGATTATATATGACAACAGATAATTAAGTTTGCAAACTCATCCAAGAAAAAGTGCTTTGAAGAATGACCTAGGCACTGGTGTCAGTGCATAGCTTCCCCGGGGAGTACTTCGAAGGTGACTGGAGTGATACTCAGCAATGAGGCATGCATCATTTTCTCTAGGATGAGTCTGAGAATTTAATTTTCAGACCTTGTATATTCTTATTAACCTAGAAAAGTCTGGCCCCAACTTTATCTCTTTTACACTTTGTATCATTGTCACAGGTTTTATACATTTTACACATAGATGTTACTTCTGGGGGTGTCATACCAAACGTATGTTACCATGCTGGGATTATTAGATTCTTGAGCCTAGTTCTCATTCACCCTGCTCATTCCATAACTGTAGGTATTCATTCATCCACAGTTACAGACATTTAAAGCCTTTACCATGACTCTGACTATGAATCAAACAGGAAGAATTTTAGGCAGCAGCTCCTTTATGTGGCTAGAATGAACACAGGACACAGTTCCCACTCCTAGCCTTGGCAGAATCAACCTATTCATAACTGTCACATTCACTGTAAATACACCACTCTGGCCAACATGCACACAGATCAGTACCAGTCACTTCTTAGGATGTATTCTAACTTCTACTTCAGCTTTCCTACCTTTGGGATTCTTTTTCTTTTTGTGTTTAAGAGAGTTGAGAAGGATACTATGAAACACAGCATTTCTCCTTGGGAAAGCTTACCAAGAGAATTTCTCCCCCTCAACCAAGTCAACCCAGGGCTTGATGAATGTAGAAGGACTCCTGTTGCTACTGTATAATCAGATGTTTAAAATGACATTTCTCTGATAGTGAACGGTAAATTTAACAAAAAACTTACTTCTTTCTTGTTCCTTTTCATTTTTCCTCTGTGTGATTTGTCTTCTTAATTTATTCACTTCTGCCTGGCAAGATTCAACAACTCGCTCACTTTTTTCAACATCTGCACATACTGCCTGAGGGAAAAAATGACGATGAGACAGGTTAGCTTCAAATTCAAGTACAGGCATTCCACAAATCCAGCACTGATTACAATCCTAGGAAAAGTCTAGATTTATTGAGTTAAAAAAGAAGAGAGACACATAAGGAAGAGGAAAACCCTGAAAGCCTAAAAGATCAGTATTGTTACTATTCACTGACTGGCTGCCTCAAGATTATTATGCTATGTAGCCTATAAAGTCTTTTTTTCTTTTTGTAAGAAATAAGAGTTTCACTTTGTCGCCCTCAGTAGAGTGCTGTGGCATCACAGCTCACAGTAACCTCCAGCTCTTGGGCTTAGGCGATTCTCTTGCCCAGTAGCTGGGACTACAGGCACCTGCTACAATGCCCAGCTATTTTTTTGTTGCAGTTTGGCTGAGGCCGGGTTTGAACCTGCCACCCTCGGTATACGGGGCTGGCGCCCTACTCACTGAGCCATAGGCACCTCCCCTATTAGCTTATAAATTCTTGCAAAATAAGGGTAAGATGGGACGGATTTAATCTTTTCCCTTGATTAATCATTTTTATTGAAACGAAAAGGGAATTTTTGGTACCTGTTTAGTTTGCAAAGGAGGAACACAAGAAAAGACAGGAATGAGATGCCTTCAACTTCTATTTATTACCAACAATCAGATACTAGGTAAGACAGCTTTAGTTAGCAGAAATATAATGAGGGAAAGTTGAAAAAATGTTTCAAAGTCAAGATTTAATAAAAGATAATTATGTGAAAATGTATTTATATAATTCAGCCATTTATAATCAGAGCACTCTCTATGATACTGGTGTTTTCAGAATAGAACATATTCAATCAACAAAGGACTATAACTGCCACATTACAGTCCTTTGGCCAGTACTGATAGTCTGGAAAGGGCATGGTCATGAATTCAGGACAAAAGCTATTTTCCCTTGCATATTCCTTCCATGGCAGAAATACCAGAAACTTCAAGAAAGTGGGCCAGTCACCAGTGAGCCTGTATCAAGTTCCCTATACTGCTCAGTGGACACTGACCCTGATTTGTACACTAACCTCATGGTGCTTTCTCCTTTTGCCCCAGGGTGAATTCAGTCTATTTTCCTCTTTCTAGTCATTAAAGGCTTCTTTTCCTTAAAGCCAGGCTTCCTCCAGCCTGGAAGAGCTGCTTAACTTTACCAGTTTTCTTCCTGTCCTCAAAGGTAAGTTCAAGAGCTCTTTTTCTCTTAAGAGTTTTACTGCAGGCTCGGCGCCGGTAGCTCAACCGGCTAAGGCGCCAGCCACGTACACCTAAGGTGGCAGGTTCGAATCCCCAGCCTGGACCCGCCAAACAACAATGATGGCTGCAACCAAAAAATAGCCGGGCGTTGTGGCGGGCGCCTGTGGTCCCAGCTACTTGGGAGGCAGAGGCAGGAGACTCGCTTGAGCCCAGGAGTTGGAGGTTGCTGTGAGCTGTAATGTCACGGCACTCTGCCCAGGGTGACAGCTTGAGGCTCTGTCTCAAAAAAAAAAAAAAAAAAAAAAAAAAAAAAAAGAGTTTTACTGCAAAGTACTACTAAGAATACATCAGGGACGATGAAAAGAACATGGGAAAGTACTGTTAGCACCGAGTTCAGTATCTGGCTTATAGGAGATGTTCCTATAAATACTTCTTGGCTGGGTATACTGGCTCATGCCTGCAATCCTAGCACTCTGGGAAGCTGAGGAGGGAGGGTCCCTTGATCTCAGGAGTTCAAGACCAGCCTGAGTAAGAGCAAGAACCTGTATCTACTAATACAGAAAAAACTACCCGGGCATTGTGGCAAGCACCCGTAGTCCTAGCTACTTGGGAGTCTGAGGCAGGAGGATCACTTGAAGGCAGGAGTTTGAGGTTGCTGTGAGCTTGGCTGACACTAAGGCACCCTCACCTGGGTGACAGAGTGAGACTGTAAATAAGTAAGTAAATAGGCTCGGCGCCTGTGGCTCAAGTGGCTGAGGCGCCAGCCACGTACACCCAAGGTGGCGGGTTCAAATCCAGCCTGGGCCCGCCAAACAACTATGATGGCTGCAACCAAAAAAAAAAATAGCCAGGCGTTGTGGCGGGCCCCTGTGGTCCCAGCTACTTGGGAGGCTGAGGCAGGAGACTTGCTTGAGCACAGGAGTTGGAGGTTGCTGTAAGCTGTGTTGCCACAGCACTCTACCCAGGGGGACAGCTTAAGGCTCTGTCTCAAAAAAAAAAAAGTAAGTAAATAATTCTTGCATGAATGACTAGGAATGCACAGGCTCTGCTGCCTTGCCCCACATGATGGAGGCAGCAGGGGGGGCACAGTGAGTAGAACAAAGGAAGCAGAGCTGCAACAAGCTATGGGAGCCTTTGACGCAGTCTGTGCTCAGCGCATAACTCAGCATAGCTGTGTTCTTAGCAACCCTTCTTTAAACTTGGAATGCATTTTTCTAGGAAAAGAACATGATTATAAATGGGGCCACAAGTATCTAAAATGGTAGTATTAGTAATATACTTCAGTCTCTACTGCAGGCTCAGAATGAGTGAGTTTGGCTTTTGCAGGCTGGTGTGAGTACCTACTCCAGAGATCTGATACTACTTTGGGAAAGCACTTTTGACTTTTGAACCTTAATTCCTTTGTCAGTTGGAAGATAATTAAAAATTAATGTAGAATTAAAAGCATTTGGGCAATACAAATAAGATTAAAACTAGTAAATAAATCAGTTACCTGCACTTTCTCTTGAAGTGCGTTGTAAACCTGATAAATTGCCCTGATGTCTTTCATCACTCCATCTTTGTCAAAAAAGTCAGTACTAGAAGACAGAAAAAATATGTCATAAAGTCACCATAGCTGTGAACCTTCTGAAAGGCATTTTTTTCTAACACTTTTATCTTAATCTATTACTTAAATGCTGTGACTCCAAGACAACACTGCTTAAGCAATAATACCCCATACCACTAGGATTAAAGAAATTGATAAAACCCTGGGTGGCACCTGTGGCTCAGTGATTAGGGTGCCAGCACTATATGCTGAGGGTGGTGGGTTCAAATCTGGCCCCGGCCAAACTGCAACAACAACAAAAATAGTTGGGCATTGTGGCAGGCGCCTGTGGGCCCAGCTACTCGGGAGGTTGAGGCAAGAGAATCACCTAAGCCCAAGAACTGGAGGTTGCTGTGAGCTGTGCACAGCACTCTACTGAGGGCAACAGAGTGAGACTCTGTCTCTAAAAAAAAAGAAAAGAAATTGATAAAACCCACGTTACCAAGAAAATTTTTATTTAAAAGGTTATATAGTTTCAATAACTATATTGAATCTCAGAGTTAATAGCTTTTAGAGTCTCAGAAATAGGGTCAGCACCTTTTGCTCAGTGGTTAGGGTGAGGCCACATATATCAGGGTTTGTGGGTTCAAACCCGGCCGGGCCTGCTAAACAACAACTATAACAAAAAAATAGCTGCGTGTTGTGGCAGGTGCCTGTAGTCCCAGCTACTTGGGAGGCTGAGACAAGAGAATCACGTAAGCCCAAGAGTTTGAGGTTGCTGTGAGCTCTGACACCATAGCATTCTACTGAGAGCAATATAGTAAGACCCTATCTCAAAGAAAAAAAAAGGGAAAAAAAATAGACTCTCAGAAATACATACTCTATCCAAACTTTTGTTATCAATTACAAAAACACTTATGGTAAATAATAAAAAAAATTGATAAGACAAAGTTCATCTTTTCAATAACAATAAAATTCAGATAGATGCTGGTGTTATCTAGAGAATTACCTTACTGAGTTCCTCAATTTAAATTATGTCAAACTTGATTTTACATTTCTCTATATACCTTTTAAATATTATTGACAAAAAGAAATGCTGTTAATAAAAAGAAGAAAAAATTCTCATTTTACCTTTCTACTTACCCGTGTTCTTTAATAACTTTGGCATAACTCTGAGAAGTATTTGGCACTGAAGACACTTTGTACTCTTGCTGGCTAGTATTGCCTAGATTAGGAATAGCAAGTGATATCCTTTGATTATACCTATGGGGAAAATGGCGAAAGAGATTATGTTAAAGTACTGCTCTACCCTAAGAAGAGACCTGCTAATAAGAGTCTTAGTCTCTGACACTGTAGACTAAAAGAAAGTCTCAGAGTTCCTACTTCTACAGACAACCCAAGGATGCATGAAGTAGCAATTTTTCTCCTTCCCTTAAATAGGAACCTTTACTACAAACTCCCTGAAAGCAGAGGTCATGTCTTATACATTCTCATACATCATTTGCATGCTTATATTGTGAGTATTCAAGGTGTGGTGGCTCATGTCTGTGATCCTAGCACTCTGGAAGACCAAGGCAGGAGGATCCCTTGAGCTGCAAGAGTAAGACCCTATCTCTACTAAAAATAGAAACATTAGCTGGGCATTGTGGTGAGCTCCTGTAGTCCCAGCTACACTTGAAGGTTGAGGCAGGAGGACTGCTTGAACCTAGAGTTTGAGGTTGCTGTATGCTAGGCTGACACTATGGCACTCTTGCCTGGGCAACACAGTGAGACTCTGTCTCAAAAAACCCCCCAAAACAAACAACAACAACAACACCCCCCCCATAGATTAATAAAATCATGCAAATAGCTATTTAATAATTAATGATTATTTTCACCAATGTTGATTTAATTTATTCTCTAATAAATACATTTCCCAAGGGAAACCTTTCTATTTATAGGCAGACAACATGATCACATAATCATATAGATTTTTGGCTTTAAGTTTACAATGCAAAACCCTCATTAACCAGCAGGTGGATCAACTTTACAATTTTATCTTTGAAATCTGTTTTAAAATTACAATTAGACTTCTGTAGCCATAAAACTGCATTTCTACATAATGGATTATGGAGAAACAAATGATGATTTCCAGCTATGTATTCCTGTAAGAATTTATCCATAATAAATGTCTTATTAATGCTTCTTGATTCAAAACCAATTTTAATTTATATAAATAACCAACAAGGAAAATATCTTCTCTAAACTACAACCCCCCCAAAACAAAAAAACAGCTAAAGAGAATTACGAAAGCTTTTCTTTATATATGCTACAAAATACACTATAATGTACACTTTCAAAGTCATGAATTTCAATTACTTGTATTAACACCTTTATGCTAATATGAGGCTGGTAGGAAAGCTTTCTTTACCTTCGATTTGGCCTAAAGAGAACATATTCTAAAGCATGAGTGGAATTGTTGGCGGTGGAGATGAAGCTGAAGAGAAGGAAGACGAGGTCGGGCACCCCGAGGATTCGGGTTAGCTGCTTGTGGAGAACCTGCTCTCGGTATGACATCTGCTGCTGTGTATTGCGCCGGAATCGGTACCACCCAATAACTTTCTGCAATAAAGACAGAAAAAACAGTATTTAAAGTTGCACGAAATCTTACGAACTGAACTCTGAATGCATCCATAAAAACATGTGTGCATAAATGTTCACAGCAGCTTTCTGTGCGATAGCCCCACACTGAAAACACCCCAATTGTCCACCAGCAGGTCAGTCAATGGATAAACAAACTGTGGTATGTCCATACACTGGAATTCTACTCACTAACACAACACGGAAGAATCCCAATATAATTATGCTGAGTGAAAGAAGAGAGATTAAAAAATGTATGTAAGATTCTATTTGTATAAAATTTTAGGATGGTGCCTGTGGCTCAAGGAGTGGGTTCAAACCCAGCCCAGTCAAAAGAAAAATTTTAGAAAATGAAAACTAGGCTCAGCACCTGTGGCTCAAGCGGCTAAGGCGCCAGCCACATACACCTAAGGTGGCGGGTTCGAATCCCCAGCCCGGGCCCGCCAAACAACCATGATGGCTGCAACCAAAAAAATGGCCAGGCGTTGTGGCGGGCGCCTGTAGTCCTAGCTACTTGGGAAGCAGAGGCAGGAGACTCGCTTGAGCCCAGGAATTGGAGGTTGCTGTGATCGTGATGCCATGGCACTCTACCCAGGGAGATAGCTTGAGGCTCCGTCTCAAAGAAAATGAAAACTAATCTAGAGTGACACGAGGCAGATCAGTGGTTGGCTAGAATGGGGGAGGGGAAGGGTGAAAAGGTAGGTTAGAAAGGTGCACAAGGAAACTTTCCCAGGTGACAGGTATGCTTGTCACCTTACTCTGGTGGTAGTGTCATGGGCGTGCACATACATCAAACTTTGAAGTGTAGATCCCAAATATGCGCAGTTTACTGTATGTCAATTCTACCTCAAGACAATTATTTTTAAAGTTTAGCTTCTGAGGGCAGCACCTGTGGCTCAAAGGAATAGGGCACTGGCCCCATATGCTGAAGGTGGTGGGTTCAAACCCAGCCTTGGCCAAAAACTGAAAAAAAAAAAAAAAAGTTTAGCTTCTGCCACGCACGGTGGCTTGTACCTGTAATCCCAGTACTTTGGGAGGTCAAAGCAGAAGGATCACTTGAACCAGGAGATGAAGGCCAGCCTGGGCAATACAGTGAGATCTTGTCTCTAAAATTGTTTTTTTTTAATTAACCAGGGTGGTAGAGTGTGCCTACAGACCTAGTTATGTGGGAGACTGAGCCAGGAGGATTGTGTGAGCCCAGGAGTTCATGGCTGCAGTGAGCTATGATCATGCTACTGCACTTCAGCCTGGATGGCAGAGTCAGACTGTCTCAAAAAAAAAAAAAAAAGGAAATTTAGCTTTGTCAGCTTAAGCTACACCATAACTAAACTGGTTAAAGCAAATTAAACTGATACACTCTCTGGAAGAATATATCTCACAGGGCTCGGCGCCTATAGCTCAGCAGCTACGGCACCAGCCACATACATCAGAGCTGGCAGGTTCGAATCCAGCCCCGGCCTGCCAAACAATGACAACTACAACCAAAATATAGCTGGGCATTGTGGTGAGTGCCTGTAGTCCCAGTTACTTGGGAGGCCGAGGCAAGAGAATTGCTTAAGCCCAAGAGTTGGAGGTTGCTGTGAACTGAGACACATGGTACTCTACTGAGGGCGACGAAGTGAGACTCTGTTTCAAAACAAACAACCACAAAAAAAGAATACGTCTCACAACGGTTTACTGGACATCTGGAAGACAGATGGCCTAAGAGATAGTTGGGAGCTTGCTAAAATACCAGATTCCTGGCCTTCCTCCTCCATAATCTGCAGAATCAGAGCCTCTAAAGGTAGAGTTAGGATAGAATTCTGAATTCAAGGTAAGTTTTTGAAGTTTTTGAGTTTTTCTTTTTTCTCACATACTGAAATTTGAAAACTTCTGTTGTAGAAACAATTTTCTTTTTTGAGACAGGGTGTCTCACTCTGTTGCCCCAGGCTGGAGTGTAGTGGCACAATCCCAGTTCATTAAAACCCTCACCTTCTAGGCTCAAGTGATCCTTCTGCCTCAGCATCTGGAGTAGTTAGGACAATAGGGGCGTGCCTATCAAAAAATTGTTTTTGTAGAGATGCGGTCTCGCCATGTTCCTCAGGCTGGTCTCCAACTCCTAGCTATAAGCAGTCTTCCCACCTCGGCCTCCCGAAGTGCCTGGCCACAACTTACTTCTTTTTTCTTCATGATTTTCTTTTTTTTTTTTTTTGAGTCTCACTATGTCGCCCTCAGTACAGTACCATGGCGTCACAGCTCACAGCAACCTCAAACTCTAGGGCTCAAGTGATTCTCTTGCTTCAGCCTCCCAAGTAGGTGGGACTACAGGTGCCTGCCACAATGCCTGGCTATTTTTTTGTTGCAGTTGTTGTTGTTTAGCAGGCCCGGGCTGGGTTCAAACCCTCCAGC